AATATTTTTTTATTTTAAAGAAATAAAAAATTTATTTACTGAATTATATTATATTGATAGGAAGATATAAATTCTTATGACAGATATATGACTTAATTGTCTTATTATATTTCGCGTATGTCGCAGTACGCGTTGTGTCCACTCTAACAATACAAATTCTATACCTAATTTTGGTAGTTCCTACCAGTATATTCTTGTGTATATATTATTATTTACGGTGTACGTAAACACCGAAAAAACTATCGGGGAAAGTCCGGTTAAAAGTTTCTCGCTTGTGATGTATCAAACGATGCATAGCATAGCGCACAGCTAAAGATAAAAAGTTAGCGATCGAGGGACAGTTTAAACATTCGAGAAATTCTTGGCTCCGAAACGGGCGAATGCGCGTTTTCTATTCCCGTGAAAGCCAGAAAAACCGGAGTTGATACGTCAAAGAGGATTAGAGCTCGACGTTTCGCATCGCCCGTCAAGTCGTCAAGTATAATGAGTTTTCGCGCAAGAAAAGAAAATTCGATATAATCATGCAAAAATTAACGAATATGGAACGTGACATAGATAAATATCGTTAACGAGAAATTGGTATGAGCAGCTTGCCAAATTCTGCTTCTTCTGGGTTGTTCTTATCAGGCACTTTGTGAGTAAAATTGTTGGAAAGAAATTTAATTAATTGACTATCAAAATTAATTAATTAGCATATAGACAATTTTATTACGTTACGTTATTTATATATTTAAAAACTTTGTTAAATATTATATTGTATTATTAACAGAAGGTAGAGAGAGGTATAACCTTGCATCATAATGTATAACTTGTTCACTTGTGTCAAACTTTACACTTACATTTAAATTTTAAACTTAATAAAATATTAAAAAAGTTAGAGTAGATACGAAAAGATTTTATATTAAAATATGTTACATCTTTACTTCGTATTCATTTCGAAGACGTAATTAAAAACGTAGTTATTTCTTATTATTACTTCCATCTCACAGTTACTATATAAATGACTGTGTTATGATATAAAATGTTCTGCGTATTAAATATCTCTCGAAATAAAATTACTCAATTTACTTGCGAATGTTACATAACTAAATTCACGCAAGAAATAAAATCTTATCGTTTTAACTAAAAAAAATAGAAGAATAACATTTGGACAGCTAGACCAATTCGATTTATCTGTGAAAGAAGCGTCTAGACAGCGCAATATTTCATGAATTATACTTTGCATCTCTGAAATTTCTTGCTGCTAGAATAAAGTCGAGAACTGCTGCTTCTAGTCCCGGTGCGACCCGAGGTCACGAAGGTCGATACAAGTTTAGTTTCAATGGCGCTAGCGCGTGTTGGGATCAACTCCCAAAAATCATGCCAAAAGTGGATTACATCGTCTAGCAAACTTGCTCAAATATATGTAAATGTATATACCACTCGAAATTTAGATTGCTCAATTAACATACAAATCGTATCTCGATAGCCACAATGGTACTTGAGCATAAATACCAAGGATTACGTCACGAAAGTCCATTGTCAATATTTAAAAAAAAAACGCATGAATCTTGTCAACGTCACCTCACTTACATTTAACTACCTGTCAACGTAAGAATATACAATCTCTCCAAAAATAATAACGATGTTTTAAAGCATTTTTTATTCAATATTCACTATTTAATCCTCAAAAAAGCGAGATGACACTTTAATCCATCCGATATTTTTACATAAAAATTGAAAATTTAATCTACTGATGTATCGTTCTGTAAAGAAACATTTTATTTTTCAATACTTTCAATGTGTAAACCGTTTGACCTGAATCCCATTTCATGAAACAACTTTGTAGCTTTTTAATCTTTTTTCTGCTTTGTACTTTTTCTCTGCGTAATAACTGTTTTGCATCTTGACTTGTAAATGAAAATTAGAAAGTGTAAACTGGAAAAGTGAAAATAATCAACATTAACTTGGCCAACAAAATTTTTATCGTAATTTCTATTAAAATGGAAATATGTTATTTTCTTTACAATGACTACAAATTCTTTTTCATTAATAAATTAAAAAATTGTTCAGATGACGTTATTGTTATGGCATAATGTAAATCCTTTCATCAGAGTGAATAATGTAAAATGTTACAGGCTCGCTGACCCAGCAAGAAACTTATGCACAATATTCGACCACATTAATTTTATGGCGGAGTAGTAACAGTCAGAACATTGTCAGACAGAAACCGATCGTTAATTAATCATCGAACACATCTTAATTATCATTATTAAGCAGTTTCTGGAAATTTTTTTACTTAATAGTCTAATGTCAACAGATAAATAGAAATTTACGTAGACATCTAAGTTCAAAAATTAAAAACAATCTCTTTAAATATAAAAAATGTGTATTATATAAAATTTGTTTATTAATATACTATTAAGTTAAAGTTTTTAGAAGTATAGAAGTTTAGAAATTTTTCCTGTTTAGCGATGCAAAGGAACTGACATAATAATCACAATCATTTCATTATCTTTTAATCACTTTTCAGAGATATATGTATAATATTGGTGATATATTATTCTCGTAAATAAATGTTTTAATTTATCTAATCTGTAGCACTCCGGCGATAATAGACAATTAAAGATTCATAATCGACTTCCGCATTAGTGATTATTGCAATATGCCCCGTGTAATTTCGCATTGTTATAATCTGGTCAGTGGTCACTAGATAAGCAACGCCCACCTTATTTATCACAGAGAATATTAAAATCGGTTCACCGATATCGTTGTCATCAATAAACCGTACTATCAATACAGCTTGCTGTCGGGCCGGGATTGAAATCCGAGATCGGCGATATAGTAAAGTTCCTATTATTCACAGTCGGAATTGTAATTGCAATCTGAACTTCGTCGACTCGATCTCGCATGGTCGACTGCAATCTGTCGTCAGGCTCGGCCTCCACGAGTAGGCTAAGTTTCCGCAAGGGCACGACACCAATAGCTCTGCGTCATCGCACAAAATGCGGAACAAGTGCACGATCTAATTTTTTTTTCACCAGCGAGTGAGAGAGCCACGAGAGCCGCTCTTCTTCATCGCAGTCCCCGAAATTACTCCAACGTAATATCGCGACTGTAAATTATGACTCATTCTCCCGATTTATGCCTCTGATAGAACGGGAGCTTTCTCTTACCGCCTGACTATAAAATTTGAATAAAGCCATTCGTAAATTGCGCCCAGCCTTCCCATTCGACTTAACGCATTCAACCAGAACCAGGGGCGAGGGTGTAAGAAGAAGAATAACCAACTAAGAGGGCGGCTATCCGTGTAGTTCAAGGAGCAAATGTATTCGCGAACATTGAGCGCTTCGAGAAGATTCAATATCGATAGGGCCGAAGAAAAGACTCTATAGGATCGGATAGTGACGGAAACGCACTTCCAGGGTGGAACACGCACTGCGTAGAAGCCACCCCTCTACCTCGGGACCGTTGCCGTGTCTGGTTCCACGAACGAAAACTAGGTCACCGGTCACGTACACTCGTACTCTCGTACGAGCTCGAGGCTAGGAGTCTCGTGTGCGCGCACGCGCGCGTACACGTGTAAGTGGCCGCGAATCTACGTGTATACACGTCTCGCCACCAGTTCTCACCCTGTAGCACGTCCGGGATGCGCGACGTCAATCCTCGTGCGTCCGGGTAGGGCACCGCGGCGCGTGGTACGAACGGGGGCGGGTGAGTCCTCAATATCGAAATTCCTGCCGCGATATCGTCCAATGGAATCAGGATCGAGATCGAGATCGAGAGAGAGAGAGAGAGAAAGAGAGAACTTTCGAAGCTGAATTAGATTTAAACGACAGTTTAATGCCGACCCGAATTTTCGGTAATGGCGTCTCGTGACTGGCACGAATCTACATGGAACAGTTTTAATCAGTATATCCCTCTGTTTCGCATCGCCTCCCTCCTTCCTCTCAATCGACACTCTTATCGGATTTTCTTTGAAATCGGTTCTGTACTTTCTCCAGAGTATGACCTATTTAGCAGAGAATTGTATTTCAATTTCTGGAAATCCGATTACAAACATAATTTAAGAGTATTGCAGCGGAAGAATTTTATCGAGTCTGATAAATGTAGCTTTGCTGTGAGCAAACTTCGAATCGAGAAATTATTGCATGGATCAGAATTTTTTACTGTTATACTGTATTAACTAGCAATGAAGGATAAATTATAAACGTTATATACGTTTCTATATCTAGAAGAATAATTTAAAAAATGTTTTATATTTAATAAATATTATTCAAACAACTTGGGATAGTTGAGAAAATATAATGTGTGTATAAATAATTCTAAAAAATTAAGATTCCACAATATATTTGTCAACACGAAAAACTCATACTTGGTGTGTTTGATATTGCTATTTATCCTTGAGTATTAGTAATAAATGTACAAGCAAGTAATGCTAACGTATTCGTTATATTTTAAATTCTTCATATTTCAGAATTAGTACAAATTTATTATTCTCTTAATACTTCTCTATTCTTTTATGCATATAAATCTTGTTTAATACTTTCTAACAATTGGATGTTAGAGATGATTAATTTAATTCTCTATTGCAACAAAATAGAAATAGAAAATTAATAGCAGAAATCCAGAATGTATTTATTTAACATTATTGAAATATACTGTTCTTCTTTAATATAAATTAAAGTAAACAGGCAAATCCCGAAATTAAAATACATGATACAGATAGTAAAATAATAATAAGAAATAGAGAAAATAACTGTAGAAGATAAATTAAATTTAAAAAATCAAGTTATTTCTCTTTTGGTAAATTATGAATTTAATTTTTAATTGTTTCACAAACATATTCAATATCGCAATAGTGTTTAATAATAAAATTGATTTATGGATTAAGAGTGCACGAAGAGTTAAATATAAGTCATGTACATACAAATTATTGTATAAATATATTATTGACGGCATATATTATATGTGCCTAATAGTCCTGACCCTCGAAAACACAATTTGAAAAAAAAACTCACCAAGATACGTCCAGTGGTGGTCTGTCCGGAAATCAGCTCGCCGGCCCAATCCTTGGCCTCGGTCATAAAAGTCCCCTCGAACTCCTTGTTCTGGCGGGCCGTTTTCTGCTCCTTCTGCTTCGGGTCATTTGGGGAGAGCTCGGGCTCCTTGCGACAGCAGAGGATAGCGAACGCACGCCAGAGGAGTACGATCAGCAGCCCGGCGAGGAAGGTGAAGATGCTCGACAGGAGGAAGCACCACCATTTCCGCTCCTTGAGGCAGCCTTCTACCGGGGGCTGCACGGTCGTCCCTTCGGTCGTCATCCCGGCGGATCTCTGCTGCCCCCGGGTCACACATTCACCGGCGACTATCACAATCACAAGCGGCAGCTGCGGCGGCCAGTAGGACGCACTTTATGCGCTTCATAATTTCGCGCCGCCTCCGGGGGATGCGCGACACGCGCTAGGAAAGATCTGTGCACGGCCCGCTTCCGCGTCCTCGCGGTATGCAGCTGCCCCACGAGCTTCTTCTTTTTCTTTTCTTCTTTTGCAAGCGTGCGCTCTCTTCGAGAAGGAAAATCACCGAATCTCTTTTTCCTTTCTATTCTCCTGCCACGCACACTCGCTGGCACCCGGAGCCCGTCTTCCACTCTCACCTTCTCAACCCCCTTCTTCTCCCTATCTCTCTCTCTCTCTCTTTCACCACCTCTCGTACTCTTCCTTTCTCACCCTCTCTCTCTCTCTCTCTCTCTCTCCGTCTCTCTCGCTCTCTCTCTCTCACTCTCTATCACATACACACACACATGCACTCTCTCTCGCTCTCTCTTTCTCTCTCTCCTCTACTTCTCTCTTCCTATCACTCTTTTACGATTGTTCCTCCAATTCTGCCTAATAATGTCTATATCTGTTTGCCCCGAAAATGCCTTCTTCCTTGTTCGCAAGCTCCTTTTATTCAAAGATCACTTGAATGAAACGACTGCCGTCGTTCTGGTCGACGCACTACTGTCCGACTGAGGATCGTATCCCCGTCACAAGTCTATCCCGAGGCGGATGTACACGTCGATATCTCCGCTGGACACACGAGAAGCACCGAGTCCCGAACACGGCGTCCTTGGCGAAGGCGCTCCGCTTTCTCGTTCGCACAGCTATCGCGATACGCGCAGTAACCAGCCACGGATGCTCGATCCTGATGGCTCTGAGGGTCTTGCGCCGTTCTCGTTCTGTTGACTCGTTTCTCACCACCCTCGGCGGCAGCCGCTGCCGCCGCCGCCGCTGTGATGCCGCAGGTGTGTATCGCTTCCAGTCGAAGTCCGTGATCGTAAGGGATTGCCGGAGCAATAGAGAACAGGCAGGGGTCACGACTCACTGAACACTGACTACCGCGTGTCACATACGCGCGCTCGTACGAATACACAAGTACGCGAGACGAGTTCTTCCCGTTTGCTTCGCTTGTATTTATATATGCTTTTTCTCTCTCTCTTTTTTCTTCGTTCTCTCTTTCTCTTGTGTTTCTATTTGTGTATATATGTATGATTATACTCTTTTTATTTTTTTTTACAGTTAAGTGCGTGCGTGTATGGTGCAGATGTAGCAAGCGCGGGTCGTAATCGCGTACGCGAGCGAAACGCGAGCGAACGATGCGCGACGACGACGCGAACGACCGAGCTTTATTTTTCCTCTTTTTCTCCTCTCTTCTTTCTCTCTTTCTTCTATCTGCAACCGCACGCGCCCGTTCCTCTTAACCTAATCGGCTGAGCACCACCGACGGCGACGACGACGACGACGACGAGGACGACCGAGTGTCCCGACGACCATACCACTGCTCCACAGCAATCAATACGCAACAATGGACCAGGACCAATAAGCTCGGAGCTTTTCCTGACGTAGACGCACGCTCTCTCGCTCTCAGCCTATCCCCTACCACCCCACGCGGCCAAATTAGTACGGGCGCGATACTAGTGGAGGCGCCGCACGCGGCTGCGCTAAAACGAGCATAACTACTTACGGGTAGTAGTACGAGCAATGGGGGTTGCTTGCGTGGAGCTCAACGGGGGTGTACGCGACGAGCGCGCGATTATTTAACCAAAGGCTTGCGGTCTGTATTTTTGTAAAGAAAAGAATTTTCTAGTCAGTCCCTGAAATCCTTTCCGTTTATCAGACATTACTGCGCTGATGCAAAAAATAAATATGTTTACAAAGATGAAATAATAAATATGTTTCAAAATGGATAAATATTGAATAGATTGTACTTAAATGAATTTATGTATTTAAATTAAAATAAAACAATTTTAATGCAAGAATAAATTTTTTATTAATTTGCCTTTTTTGGAATTAATTTTGGAATATTGTGTGACTATAAACTAGTTGTACTACTCATGGCAAATTCTCTGCTATTAAAACCTTAATTTCAGTCTATATATGCATGTGTGTGTGTGTATAGCATTTATTAAAATTATAAAATAAAGTACATTTTTTGCTATATATTATAGACATTGTCATTATTTTCACATTAAACAAATTTGACATTTTAAAAGAAATTTCTTCATAATTTTCTATTTTAAATTTTTGTAAGTGCTTATTGATATATTTATATCAAATGCGTATATGTATAATTTAATATATAAAATAATGAAAAAATAACATAATTCTAAGCAATTAAATAAAAGTTATAATTAACTTTTTGTTTCTCCTGAAAATTGATTTCAAACTGGGACAAATAAATTTTGGTCAAACATTTAGCAGTGGCGTTATCTGTCTCAAGCAGACCAGTAATAGAGTGAAGTTCCGATAACAACGGCAACTGTATTGTTTCAGACGGTAAAATTGATGCTAAAACTGAAATATGTAACATTGCAAAACTTGTCAAATTACGTGCAGATTTTGAGAAAACTTACAAACAGCAGTGTTTTTTGATGTAGCAAAGTATTTATTTAAAAAATGAAGGTAACGTCGCTAATAAATATAATTAGATATAAAAATTTAAAATATTATTTGTTTAAACAAATTATTACTATAAAAAAATGCAGTCTTGCAGCAATATATAATATATTATTACGTCGTAAAAATTTTTTTTATTTATAAAGCATATATATATAATAATAAATTATTAATTTAATACAGCATTACAAATTAATTGTTCAGATATCAGCAGTAGAGAATTGTATATTAATAATTGATAATATTAGTATTTTTATTTCTTCGGTCAGAGAGAAGAATGGACGCGCAATGACGGCGATTTTCTTGGGACGCTTTGGCTAGGCCGTACAGTAGCGCCACACATCCACTTTCAGGAATTGGATAGGTAATCTTATAGGTAATCACGACAGAGAGAAGCCTGAGAGTGAACATGTCCGCGTTTTAAGTGAAATTTGTCTAGCGCTTCTATGTACAAAACGTGTACATTGAACTACGTAAACATATTAACGAATATTTTCAACGGATAACATGCTATGTCCACGTTCTTCAAGTATCTCACAAATGCTCCGAAATGGTCAGAATTTCTTATGAGAAATCAAAAATTAAAGAACAAAGTATAGTCATTATGGAACACTTGAACTGTCTCGAAATATTTAGTGCTTTATAAAATAATTTTTATAGACGTTTACATCTAAGAAAACAATTTACGTCCGATGCCTTTTCTCTCTCTTATGTTTTTTCGAACGTATTTTACATCAATCGCACATATAATTAACCGAATACCGAAACCGTTTGTACTTACAAACATCAATAATAATAATGTTGGTCTATGTGTCATAGAATTTGGTTTTTATTGAAATCTGATTCTTATTTGTTAAAATAAAGACGAGCTTCCGCTTTTTTAAGATTTCTTTGCCGATTCAATGTTGATTTTTATAACATTTTCTAAGCATATACACGTGTAGGTAAGTATATCCATAAAAGAATATATTGCCAACGAATGGTGAAACTGCACAGCACAGGAAGCAGTTGGGAAATCAAGGGGTAAATCCACAGACTCTATATCTGTGGGTAAATCATTCAAGAACGGAGTGATATGCGCGTGCGTAACATACATCATCGACCACGTGGCTAATCTCGATAAGACCCTAAGTGCTTTGAGGTAACCCAGCATATTTTGTGAGATCATATAAATTATTTATTTTCTTTTGCTGTTATTTATATACTAAATATTATATTAAATATAAATATACGGTAAACATTTAATAATAAACAATTAAGTTATACATATAGTAAACAAATATGTGTAGCTAATAATATTTGTCAATTTTATATGTATAATTTAGTATATGAATTTTTATTTATAATAAATTATCCACAATACTTATTAAATTAATACTTACTGCAAATGCAACAGATTAACAGATTTAATTTTTTTCTATATATTCATAAATTGTGATGTTTGTATAAAAATATTCTTACTATTTAAGAATAGGCTTTTAACAGTATTCCTTGTTACCATAAGATACGTACGCAACTGAAATTTTATAACGCCTGCTAATGCTTGCTTTACTGCGCATGTGAAAACATCCCCTTGCAACCTCCAACCCTGGGCAAGACAGAACAGGTTATACATCGTTATTGATCATAGACATAATATTGTTGGCAGTGTTAAAAAATTACTACAAAAATATGGAGTAAGTATATGATTGTGTGAAAACTAGCCAGTATATTTTTTCATATGTGAGTACCTATTACTATTAAAGTAATTTATTAATGAAACAGTGTAATTGCATTCAAAACACATCAACTTTGAAATCAAATATAACCTGTATTCCTTAATTCTATAAGTTGTTAAACATTATTTCACGTTTAATTATATAATTTATAATCAGATTTGAAATTATAGCAAATTAATGTCCTTATGTTAAAAATCTCATATATTTAATAACGATATTAATTAACATTATTGAAATAAGTACAAAAATATATGAAAAAATAGAGTACTTTGTGTATCTATTAAAATAATATAAAGAAACAAATATTTTAATACATTATTTCTGTTCCGAAAATTTCTAAGAGAATTATAAAAAAACTATTTGTCTTTTAATATAATCTTCCGTATATATTTGTACAAAATAAGAATATTAACATTGTGTTTAAAAACCTTTAAGTTTTATATTATAACTTTATGATTTTCTTTTTCTTTTCAGACTCCACTAATTCAGATGAATATGCAAGAACGTGCTTACATATATAGTAACCGATAATATAGAATCGAGAGGATGACATGTAATGGAATCAGAGAAAGATTTAAAGCAAAATTTTATAAAAACGAACCTACAAGCAAAGCAAATTTGTAAAGTTCCTCAGAGATTTAAAAACTGGATCTGTGTACAAATATTTGAACAGAAAGTTGAAAAAACTCTCGTGGGAGCAACCAAGCGTATGCAAAGTGTCGACAATTATCGATTCGAAATACATTTTATATAGATTAAATATTCTAAAAACGGTTTAAGATTTCTATAGATATCGATAGCATATGTAGAAATAAAGTTATAATAATAAATAAAGTTCTAATCTATATTTGTTCAGTATTTATATTTTGTATAATTATAGATATATAATAAAAAAACATTTTTATTTAAATTACCCTCATTTCATAAAATAAATGATGATTTTTGAGACATCCTGTATACGGGATATAACTAAAAAATCTGTCCAAACTTTGAGAATGAATTCTATGCAGTAAAACAATAAGAAAAAAGCTATATAAATACAAATTCTGAAAAGTTTTGTTACATGGATAGCCATTAAAAAATGAGAAATTTCATAATTCTATTATTATTAATGTAAACACTAACTGCTTTAAATCTGGAAAAAATGTTTAATAAATATTCTTTTTTGAGAATCTACATAAGCTTTTGCACAATTACACATGGATTTACGCAACCGTCAAAAATTCGTTGTCCTAAATTATCTACATTAACGAGAGTTGAATGAACTAGCTATTTTAAATAACCCTAAACATAAGAACCTAATGGATTTAAACCTGGTGAACGTGAAAGCCATTCAACTGGCTTCACTCAGTGGTCTTGTAATTTAAACACTATATCTTTTTAACGAAACCTTTTAAAACCCTTTCATATAACCTTTCTTTATTATTTTAGTGTACGATCTGTATATCTTTCGATATAATTTCTCACATATATGAGGCTGTATTGCTAATTATATTGGTTTCTTTATTTATATTCATATATCTATATGGATTTTTACTTGTGCATACTGTTTCCACAATTGCTTGATAATCCTATCATTTCACTTACAAGTTCATAAGCCCTTAATAATTAAAAAAGTTGATTAATTAAAATTAAGTGGCTATTATTCTTATTATTTGATTTTTAAGCCATTTATTTAATGGAATTTTAATTTACTTATTTGAACTTATATACGTAACATAATTTTTACAATTTCATTAAAGATTAATTGCATTTATCTAATCTTATTTTTATATTACTTTTTTAAAAATATTAAAAAATTTTTACATTAAAATTTCTATTCACCTGTTTCGGCAAGCTTTGATCTAAGCGATATTATTTCTGGTTTTATGACGAGCTCATAAACAATTCATCACGCGCAGAAGAACATAAGTTATCGTTAATTTCGACATCAGAATTGAAGATCTACAAAAAATACATTAAGGAAGATGTCGGAAGATGTTTGAATAAAGAATAAATAAAAAAATCGCGACTTTACTGGGACGTCACGGCATAGAATGGTAATGAATCGTGATAAATAATATCATCATTAATTGTCGTGACAGATTTCGTGATCTATTTATAGATCTTACGATAAGTGACTTCGCGTATGTTGGAACAGCTATGAAAAATGAGAACTAACGAATTAACGACAGACGCTATATAGATCGATATTGTTTGACAGATATAAAGACGTGCTATTTCAACTGTGGAGAGGACAATAACATTGTACGAACGTAAATATTATCTTATCTCTGTCAATATCTTGATACGAAATGTATGATATAATTTATAGAAGCATCCCAGTATACGTGCATTCCTCCTGAAGATTGCTGGACTTGTACGAAGCCAACTTTAATCGCATCAGATCAGATGGATAAACTGCAAGATATTCAGTTCACCGATTGTTCTGAGATTTGGAGACTAGCAGTTACTTCATGGTTGAGGATTATCCGATGATCACGGATGAAAAACAGTACGTTCGACTGCTCTTGTGGTAATTTTAGAGTTTGACCATTAAACACCAGGTACTTTAATGCGCATAGTCACGGCAGTTAGGTCAAGTAAACGAAACCAAGCAAAGCCGCATTCTGCCGTAAAGATCATCATACCCAAATATTTACAGCGCGTCTGTTGAATGTCTCATTACACTCGATCGTTATATCGACATACAGGTCTTCAATATAATCTAGGTATTATGGTCAAAGGCTAAAGGAGCAATAACATTTCTAATTAATAAGAAATAAAAAGTATCAAATATCTAATGTCTTTTATTGTTATAGCTCACGGCGCGGAGTCATTCAACAATTTAATCGACAGCTCTAATCTGCTGCGGCTATGAAGTTTACTTATTGTTAGATTGCAGCGACTTCGGAAGTAAAGCTGAACGAATTCTATACAAATCTATGAAACGATTGTGTTTCCATAAATGACGATGAGGTGCGTGCCTTCTTTTCTACTACTAACAAAAATTTTCACGAAAATTTAGATTTTCTCATCATTTCTGGATTTTTCTTTTCAGATTACATTTATATTTTATATAGCAAAAAATTTAAGGAAACAATTGAAATGCTGAACATCCGCGAGTGTCTGATAGCAGAATGGAGTGCTCGTAATAATCGGTTAGTAATAAGTATTGTTCCATAATAATTTAATTATTACTATTATTAGCAAAATAAATAGAAAAACTGGACGATGATACCTTTACGTCATCATCATATTCTCTCCATTTCCGAATTAGATAAGAAAGGGTTTTCCTCTAATACTTATAAGTAGCAAGACTGCACAGTGAGATTTATATTGTGATGCGCGTCAAAGAGGAACAACGCAACAAGAGAAGACGTCGTCGAAATATTCGATAATATATCCCGGCGCATCCATGACACACTTTTATCTGTGTAAAACATGTTAAATAGTGCAATGTTAATTTATAAATTAGTATACTTATTGTTAGTCACTATAAATCAGCTGCTGTTATATTTGTACGCAAACAGATTGATAACGTGATGCTAAATAAGTATAGATGTACGGAGATACAATAGCAACACCGCGATAACTCGTTTCTGCTGTATTTCACTGTAAAAGTTCTTCATTCTGGATAAAACGTTGCAAATGTACAAAAAAGAGAAGCATCTCTCTCCCTTTCCTCTATCTTTTTTTCTTTTATCATGACCATCGAGAAGCGTGTTTCGCGAAACATCAAATGCCGCAAATTATGCCAGCCACTTGAAATGACCGAACGGCGAACGAGAAACGCGCGTGGTTGGGTTTCTATTTTCGGCTGCGCACGCGGAGTCGATTAAGGCTGACGACGGCGCGTTTGTAATCTCCAACGAGTTTGATCGTTTCCGGACACAGCGCTGACTTTAATCGCGTATCCAGTATCCGGCGGTTGATTATCGCCACTACCTTGTCGTTCACTCGTTCGATAAATCGTGTAACGGCACGATGCACATGCGGCCCGCTTCTTCTGTTTTCCGGCTTCCGAGCAAAAATAGACGAAGCGCATACAGAGTTAGCAGCGATCATTACGACGTTTCTTCGACTTCCGTACCATTGAAGTCTTGCTAGAAAACTGTAGCATTAGAAAGGGAAAAATCGCTCTCTTTCGTTAATTGTGCAGAAATTAACGCATAATATTTATATTTATTGTATTACTGTATTCAATTTATTGCATTGCAATAAGTAAATTATCGTAGCTGAAGTACTTCTTGCTCCTTTCAAAGCTCATGATATTTAAATGTATATCTTTGAATGTCTTGAAGAAATAATTTTGACGAAAGTTAAAACAAAAATATGCTAGTTTTTTAATATATTATACCATTATTATATTAGAATAATCAATATATATGTGATATCAATTATCAATAATATCAACAACGATATTTCAGAATTCAGCATTGTAAACGTCGAGATGTAATGTACACTTATCTTTTCGGAATAGAAAAGTTAACTGTCATTTCTATTTTTGTGGAACATTTCTATTTTTGATACATTATTTCCGATAAATTTCTTTCAGCACACAAGCACGGAAAATACTTGGAAAATATTTCCTAAAAATTGCTGTCCCCGGGAAAAAATGAATACTAAATTTTAACAGCGTAGAAAAAAATCGTCGCGATTTCTTATCGCTCTTTTATCGAGCGAAGTTCAACCCTTCGATAATACGTCATCAAATAGTCATCCATCAAATACACCCCCGCAGTGTTATCGATGCTCTCCTTCTCACTACTCCTCCTCCCTTACTCAAACGTAACCCGAAAGAAGAAACTTCTCTTTCTGAACTAGTCTTTCGCTTGATTACTTTTCGAGCCCCGCGCCGAGAAATCGCCGATGCCGATCACGCGATGACCCGCGGATCATCAATTAGTCGAACATCGATCCGGACGCGGAGTTCGAAGTGAGATAGCACCTTTCGAACAAATAGTGAGAAAAAGACACAAGTGTCACTTGGTGCCGAAAGTGAAAGCAAGGATCTCAAGGACTTCGCCGGATCTTCTCCAGTCGCCTCTCCATCCCTCTATCTCTCTCTCTTTTCCCTCCGTTTTGCCCGCCTCGAGTACCAACCGTGAAGATACTCCTCGGTCGACCAAGGGGTGAAAGAGAAGGACGAGGAAGAGCGGAAGAAAGAGGTGGATGAAGAGGAAGAGAAGAATGGTGCGCCAGGCCGAGAAGAGGTGGAAAAGAGTAGGAAGATCTCCGGATTTTCTCTGGGGGAGGATGTGTGTTGGAGGTCGCGAGACGCGGAGGCGAGGGACACGCACACACCGGAGGTCGCGCATGCGTCCGCCATCCTCGGCTAGAGGATGTTCGACGTTTTTTTCAGTCACCGGTCGACGCTGCGCCGGGCACCGTCGTCGTCGTGAACACGGCCGCGATCGCGCGGCGTTCAGCTGCTGGCTACCATCACCACCGCACACGTTCGCGCTTGACGCTCGCCTCGCGGACAACAGCCTGCGCTGGTGCCCGCGTGTCCGCGCGACCGACGTCGCGGTCGATAAGCACCTGACGAGAGAGGAGGATACAGCCAGGTGGAGGATACCCGGAAGAAGAAAACGAGGAAGAGGAAGAGGTGGTGGTGGTGGTGGTGCAGTGAATCAGTTCTCGGTCACGCGCTTCACGTGCTCTTCTTCCGAGACTTAAGATCGTGCCGTCGAAAGGTCTTCTCTTTCTCGAGAAGGATTTCGCGTGTTCCCCTGCACTGATTGACCTCGTGGCGAGGATCGCAGTGCGACCACATCCTCCGGGGACATCGCGATATCGGGGCAAGGTTACTGTGCGCTCGTCACGTCCCCAGGTGAGAAACGCAGGTGAGAAGAATCACCGGGCAGGCGCATCGAGAGGTGCAACTCTGCACCTGAATTCGCTATCTCCCCGGCTCCGGAGTAAGATGCGATCGGCGGGCACTCGCTTCGTACGTCGATCGCGACAGTGTGGAACAGCCCGCATCGAGCATCGGGATTAAAACGTCGGGTGTATCGAAAAAGGAAATCACTTGTCGTCGTATTCGCGACGGAAGAGTTGGTGCAACGTATCGAGAGCACGGAACATCCCCGATGACGCCAGCGAGAACGAACGATCGTTGGCGCGATTAGTCAAAAGCGAGTCGCGCGCGTGCGGGAAGGCAGACCGGACGTGCAGCAAGATCGGGCGATGAGAATCTCCCCCCGAACGGTCGAGGAGTCCCGGAACCGTCGCCTCACGCAGCCCCGGACGCCAAGGAGGCCGGGACGTCGTTAAAGGCCTCCGTAGTCGCCGGAGAAACGCCGCGCTCGCGAGAAAGAGGCACTCGACGCACTCGAGGATGTCGCTGCACTATCCTCAGGGATACCGGTACCGATCCACGTCGAGGGCGGTCAGTGGGACCGGGGTCGGCGAGCAGGGCTCCGACAGCGACGTGGCGGAGCTCAGCGACCTCGAGGACGACGAGGACGAGGACGGGGCTCGCGAATCTGTCAACAAGCGAGCGATCGGGGAAGAAGACGAGGACGAGGATGACGATGGGGAGAACGATATGGACGACGAAGACGATGACGACGACGACGACGACGAGGATGACGACGACGAGGACGAGGAAGAGGAAGGCGAGGGTCTACCCTATCCAGGCTTCATTCCGATCGTTCTCAGATATCTCGACCAGACCACACGACCGCGCAACTGGTGTCTTGCGCTGATTACTAATCCATATCCTTTTGTTACTTCACGACTCGGTATGGTAAACTCTGCTTTATAGCACATACGTCGACCTACATACACATTTTCGTGCACTGCGCTCCAATCAACATAAAAATCGAAAACATTTATATAAATAATTTATAAAAATTCTGAAAGAGAATTAGTATTACTTTTTGCATACGTTTTGAGCATTTAAAGACAATCTAAGAGATTAGGATCCGCCTCTCAAATTTCTGAAGATGAAATATCTGTGTCTTTAATGATATTAAAAGGACACCTGATAAACCAGAACATTTTTTACACTTTTTTACGAAATCTCTCAATAATTAACAGGTATTTTAGGATGGTTTTTTGACATTTATATTGTCTAGATATATTTTACGATCCCGATAAATATCTTTCTCCAAAACAGAATTAGAAGCGATTATTGGATATCGAATTTCTACGGTAGCTTTTGTGAGGGGAACATCTTTGTGTACATTTTACGAATACAGATTCGCTTTTCATGGTCGTGGTAAGCTGATGCGAACTGTTCCGGTCGATCTTCATTAGGAATTTATTTCATCTCTCTGACTACACAAGGTTGCGCGTGCGTCAGCATTCGTTGTAGCTATCAGAATTTGTTGATTTTCCTAAGTCGCTGAGCGGCGTATCATTGAATAAGATTAGATGGAACGCGATATCGAGGTACACGCGCATTTATTCAATTAAACAAATTATCGACGGGAACGGGATTTTTACGGCATATTCGCACTTATGCAGAAAGTGCGATGAGTTCAACTCGATCTCAATAAATCAGCCACGTTATAATGTACAAATAGATTGACAGCTAAAATTAATATTATTTCGCGTTGGGATCTTTATAAATCTAAAGAATAAAATCGTAAAAACATACGAATTAAAACCAATTATGCGCTGTTTCCGACATTCGAATAACCGTTTGCGATACTGTTAAATTTAACGTGTCACAATAATCAAAGAATTAACATTTAATTGTAGATAAATTAGATTTTATTTCGGAATCAAATTAGCGTAAAAGAAAAGATAAATTTTACGGAAAAAATTGGGACGAGAAAAATTTCGTCTTTTCTGAAAGATCGTTTCTCGGGACGTAATTCTGATACCTAGCGAATAAAAATTCGAAGGTTCGATCGATACTATCTGAAGGCGATTAAATGCCTTCTTTACGTAACGCTTCCAACGGCGGAAACTCTTCAAGGATACGCTTGCTCGCTCTGTTTTCGTACTTTTTTAACTTATGGAACTTCTCACGCCCTACGAATGGCGCAGCACTTCCGCCTCATTTGTTGAATGTAAGATTCCTGCTACCAGACGAGTATTTGTTGCCGCGAGTAGCCCCGATCGAGTCTGGCGAACGCGGTGTAGCGGGTGCCGAGGGAGATCGGTCTGAAGACACCTTAAATAGGTCATTGATTGACCTATCCCCAGGCGAATCCTACTGCGCGCATAGCCGCTTTCCACAGTGGCACAGTTCTCTCCTATCTCGCTCCTCTCAACGCGACGGTGGCGGTGAGAGTTCTCCTTTTTCTCCTCTGCACAGTGGCGTTCCCGTTCTCCTTCTCATCGCGCATTTTCCTCACCCTCTCACGGCACTCGATCCCTCCTCCGGTTTCCCAGCGCGTACACGGCCAGAGCGCCTATATCCATTTGTGCGGGAAATTACTGGGGGGGGGAGGGTATGCGGCGGGACGTGCACTGCACGTGGTGAGGCAGCGGCAGCGACGACGGCGGTGGCGACGTCCGGGCAAAGTTTAGTCAGCCGACCATCGGAGCAACAAGCGCCGAGGAAAGCACGCCGCGCGTCAGAAAGATCTCCATTGTGCGCGCGAGGACAATAGGCGCGGGTTGGAGCACGTCGTAGAACCGAATATGAATGCGGACCTCGCGCGCCTGTTTCACATTACCGCTGCAAAACCGTCGCTCGCCGCTCCTCACGCCGCTCTTGTACCACTGCAATCGTATTTCACCGTAGCTCGTCGTTGAAACTGGAGTCCCAGATACCGCGATCCGAAATTCCCGGGTCCCTCTAGTAGGGGAAACCCTCGGGTATATACTCCCTCAATTTAATCCCATAAAGAATTTAATAAATTTTTATGTACTGCGCAGTACGCGCGGGACCGAATAGCGAGGATGCTTATTTCGGAACGAAAACACGCGTTCAATAACGAAAACAATGGTGGAACAACACGCTATTACATGCTGGTTCGTTTAAATTGCGATATTCGCGCAGCTAATTCATGTTGCGTAGAGAACCGCGATTGGGTGGTTTCAATTTTGGAAGTTTTGAGGTACATTTCACACAAGAATATATATGTGCATCAAAACGGTGGAGGCCTTGACCCATCGATGTTTAATCCTAGCGGAACCAAGGGCGGGCCAGAGAATGTCAAATGCTGCATTTTTCCTTGAACTACTTGCTACAATTGTGGTTTATAACATTTACATATTTAGTTCTCTTAGCAAATTTAATTGTAATACATAAATAAATGCAGTTGCCTTTGATCTAATATTAATTTTAATATTAATAAAATTATAGCGATGGATTTTATTCAAAATGTATACGATCATTCAGAACGCGTTCCGATCTCAATAAATCAGTTGTTATAATGTACATTGATACCTAATATTTTTTATTGATGTCGTAAATTTAAAGAAAATCACGTGTAAAATTGCAAAAAGATGATCTAAAGTAAAAACTAATTATGCACTCCTTCTAATATTCTGCTGTTCAATTAAATATGTTTCTTTAACTCGCTATAATAATCAAGAACTAATTCCAAACTAAACAGACTGGGCTTTATCTCCATCAGAATCGAACGAAAGAAAAATATTCTTATTTTACGAAAAGAAATGGAGATAAAAAACTTTTTGTCTTTTCAGGATATAATTATAATACCTAAGAAAAATTATAAGTTTTTTAATCGTTGATCGATTTTCTAAGGAACAATTCAATTTCATGCGTAAATAATAATTGATCTACTTTTATAACCCGTTGCACATACACACACGCACACACACACTCAATCACACAGGTCAGGAAGTTTATGTTACGTGACTTATATAAGTTCGGGGTTATAAGCGGTTAACGCAACTCGGATCAATAAAAAAACGTCGCAATTCTTTAAATTCGCTGAAACCTATAACTCACGGGAATACTTTGCTTTTCTGTTTAGAAACTCAATGCGAGATTATGTGACAGATTGCATGAAATGATTGCCATTAACAGAATAAACGGCCATCTTCCTACTCCAGTTTTAATAATTTACTTCATTATCTCAGGTACCACAAAACGGCCGAGCAGTTATTTAGGATTTAATATGATTACAGGTGTCCTCCGCATTTAATTAATTCGTATAATGCTAATACTTATTTATGTAGACAGATTGTTTTATGCCAAGTCTTATAGTTAATTAGTTTTAAGTCAGAGAGTTACACACAGAGAGAAGAAGATGATACATTGAACTATATTTTGTTTCCGAGAATATTAAACGATTAAATAACTTCTTTGTTTTTTCATTCCTCTCTTTATTACGTCTCATTCCTTAGTTTCAAGGTTTTCATAAAACGCGGCTCTAAAAGTAGCGAAATATTCCGTATACGTTATAAAAAAAGCAGCTTCTCCGGATGGGCTGGCGTTTGCGAACTTTGACTACTTGTCGCTCTTGTCCGACGCATGATTGCACTACTCTACTGTGTTGAATTGCACTCGAACTACTGATTGTCGCGAACGATCGGTTATCTCTACTGCAGTTATATTATTTTTTTGTTTTTATTTCATTTCCATTACAGCGACAAGCGGATCAAGCAATGCAATTATTTCCAAAAATTCGAACAAACAGCAAATATACTATTTTTATGTGGATTTGATTGCGTTGCCATATATATACATGTATGTTCCAATATATGTATATATACATATATATATATATATATATATATATATATATATATATATTTACATAATTGGAACATTTTTTGCGTTATACAGACGTAAATATATTTCGCTTTTATCTTGACTTGGCGAATATTTATTGTTTAAATTGCGAAAATGCGTGGAATCATCGAATCCACAACGGAGGACTTTAATAAATATTTAAAATATTTATAGGAAAATACTATCTCTTCCTGAAGTGCGCGTCAAAAAAAGATATTGGATATTAGAAATGTATTGAATTTGTCGCTCCAAAGATGAAACTTGGAAAATGTAACGAGAAAACTTATACGTAATATCGCGCAATATTTGCGGTGCGTTTTTTGCTATACGGTGGCGAACGTAATATTAAAGTAAGTAGGTGTCAACTTCACGTGGCACGACAGCCGTGGTTTTGCGGTTGAACAATGCGATATTGCGACTATAATCAAAAGCAGTGGATCGAACGTTTCGGCCTCAAGAGCAGTTTCCTGTCGATCTCCCCACATTTTCGCGCGTTCCTCCAGCTTCTTTCGCTGGATCCTCTCGATGATGTGTTATCGATCGACGACGAATACGGGTACGAGGTCAGGACGTTTGTAGGACCGGGGAAAAATAATCGAGTGACTAAAGCGAGGCAATCATCCGCGACCTCGAACGTCGCCGGAAGCGGCAGTCGATCGAAACAATTTGCTCGGCCGCCTCGGCCGCTTGATTGTCTATTAAGCGCCGCGTAAATGAGCACCGATGAGAGCGAGAGGCGTCGATGAGAAACAGGTTGACGGGTCATCACCGACCGATCGACACATAACAGGCGCGTGCATAAAAATCAATCGCCTATCACAGAGGGCTGATCGGCGCTTTGTGTGTGTGTGTGTGTGTTTTGTGTTGTGTATGTGTGTTGCAACATTGCAGTGCAACTGATATCGTAGTTGATATCCTACAGGTAGCGTCTGCATAAGAAATTAATATTAATTTATATCTTTGGAGCTATACGATGCAATATGACTCATTTTAATTAAAAGTAATTAATTAATTAAAGTATCCATAATTATTCTAAAAGCCTTAAAACGTTGTT